GCCCATGAGTAGGAATTCTTGCTTCCTGTTATGGTAGGTTGACCCCATAATTGTGTTGAGGTTTTTACACCTAGATCAATAATATAAAAGGAAAAGAGAGATATGATTTACTTTCTTTCCATTTCACATTCTGGATAGGCATATCTCTTGGTCTGCAAATTAGCAAAGAGAAACTGGCAAGGGAATAAGGGAGTGAATATACTATTTGGTACAGACAATTGTATCTCACTGTTTTGGTTCAGAATCTTGGATCTATCTGCAGTACCTATATTTTAGTTGATATTTAGGCTTCATTTTTACTAAAATAAGCAATTTTCCTTTGAGAAATAGTTTCCCCTTGTCCTCCAGATATTACTCTCTATGGGTTATGTTTATGAAAATTACACAGGAAGCATTCTTCTCTCAGCCAAATTGATCACTTGTCTGTCAGTGCTATCCCACCAGGTCTTGATGATCAGCACCTCTCACACACTCCCATGCTACCAATATCCTTGCCCTTACACTACAAAAAATTAATTCTGGTGGACTCTAAATTCCTTGAAAGGAAAAAAAGAAAGCAAAGTACAACAGCAGATGTACCGTGGACATTTACATATAGTGCTACACATTAGCAAAAAAGATAGGCTGCTCTAAACCTGTAGCATTGTATATGCAAATACTCTAAACCTTCTGGCTAGAAATACAAGGATTATTCTTGGTTGTGGATACCTTTGTAACTATAAACATAAACATAATATAAATGTATCTATTTTAATGGACATATTAAATTGTAAATTTTACGATAGATCATTTCTTTACCGCTGAAAGCTTTCAAAATTCTGCTAGCAAAGCCACAGATAATCTGACCTAGCTGGCAGAAATCCTGCTTCAGGTTAGGCAAGATGTTTTCCAGACACTCCTTCTAGTCAAAATTTATACAACATTAACATTCAGTAAGTCTTTTTGATACTGCAGCTGGACCTTCAGCAGAACTCCTTCCAGAGTTGGGCTTTAATTTCAAAAGAGACTTCTGTCTTGATTTGAACACATCAGGAACAGAGAATTTCTTTTCTGAGTGAGAAAATTACTTCACAGTGTAATCAGCCTCACAGTTCAAAGCATGATTGCTATTTTTATTCCAAATGAGGGGAAGTATACTGGGGTTATAACCATATCTCCAAGATCACATTGACCTAATAAAGGGGAATACGTATGAATGACATTTAGATTGAACATTAATACACTTCCTTGTAAGAAGAAATGCCTTTTGTTTGTGTGTTATTTTGTAAGTCGACTATAGTCTTATTCTCTTAACATACAGAGTACTGGTATCTGTCATCATTCTCAAGACAGTATAAAACATTCAGTACCTCCTCAGACCAACCTTTCTATCAGTAATTGTGAAAGACTGGGAGGATCAGTTCCTATCTCCATTCAAGAGATTCAGAATTTCCCTGTGTTCTTAAAATCATGATTGATAGTGAAGTGATAGATAAAACTAATCCAAAAGGAATTGTTAGTCAATAATATTTTAAAATTGCATTTGTATTCCTCTGCTATTTCAACTAGGTCTTAAGCTCAAAACAAAATGTAATTTTCCTTCTCTTCCTCTCAGAAACTCTGGTTTTATTTAAAACAAAGGTACTCACTAAGAGAGGTGTTGCGATGTTCTCATGACAATCACACCCGTGCATTCAAAAGCATATGAATGAGAAAGGATATTAGAAGATCTCAGCATACGATCAGTTGTCTCTCTTTTCAGACATATGAGGACATAACTATATGTCCTGATCTCTTGCCAACTTTTCTTGAATTGAGAAATTATCTTTCACTCCAGTTAAAAATGTACTTGAGCCACCTTTGAATTTTTACTCATTTCCTTTTGACTTCTAAAACATTGCAAGGAAGGTGAAAAAAGGAATGTTGTAAAAGCACCAACCTGATAGGTTGTCACTAGGGGAAAATATAACGTGGAGCACAGACAATAACAGCCTCCCTGTCTTTCAGCAATGGGCTACAATAAATTTGTGAATACTAAATGAGAATAACCAGTTAAGTCTAATCACCTTGACAAATGATGAGATTGAAAAGGGTATGGAAGACAGAAAGAGAGGAACCTAAGTTCCTGCTTATTGAAATGGTTCTTTTAACAGCAGTATTTATTTCACCTAGACTGAGTAAGTGCTGTGACTTCCCATAGAGTGCCTCAGGAAAAGCATCAATTTGTAATGAATGCTTTTTTTTTCCCTGCTCACATTTTTAAGCGGATCTGCATAAAACTATGAAAACCCAGAAAACAATCCTCTACAAATTGAATTTCTTTAAACGAAATAAAACATAAGTGAAAAAATAAATGAAACAGCACCATTATTTGGATTACATTTATCTTTAATCCACTTTGTCCTCTATATGAAATACAGTATAAAGACATCTGCCAATATTTTAAAGGCTTCTGCTTGTGTCTGAATTATGTTTTTAAATTAGACCCTAAAGCTGCATTCTAATGCATTACTTTCATTTACTGGAGTATGCATATACTATCATACTACTCCCATGACATTCTTTATTTAATCAGTCTGAGAGCTGTACAGACCCATATCTATTCCCACATAAATCTCTGCCAAATATTGCTGACTTTTAGATTTAAACTCATTGGCAATGAATGACCTCCTTGGGAAAAAAAAAAAAAGAAAAAAAGTATAAAGTGGACAAATATTTTAGGGGAAGAAGCAATCTTTTTGGATAATCAGTGGAAGGTATGCAAATCTGACTGGTTCAGAATGGAGGTGGTGTCCTTGTGGTGAATAGGAACTGCTGCAGTAAACAACTTTAGCCTTTCCTATTAAAGGTTAGGGGGAGTGATTGATATGTTTGACAAAGAAATGTAAGGTCAGGAGCAATAAAGGCAATCTGTTCTTTATACAAAAAGTACATGAAAAGCACTACATATACTGGGTATTCTCTAGTTGGTTTTGGTGCACCTGCTATTTCAGAATAATAAATGGAGCTGAGTCCTCTTGCCGCCTGTGCAGGTAGGAAGCATCACAGTTAACTCACTCTACTCTCTAATCATTGATTCATCTCTAAAAAAAGTATTAATGTGTATACCCCTTGACTCCATTGTAATTTAGTACTCTATCTTTGTTTTTACTCAGTAATTAAGCTGCAATTAAATCCACAACTGTCACACTCATCTAAGTAGAACTTACTGAAGAAATGTAACATTTATCTTCACGTAGGAGTACCAGAATCTGCCCAAATAATTTTAGCCCTGTCTTGAGTTAAGATTTCAGAAAGTACGATGTGAGGATATGTCATGGCACTGTGCTAGAAATGTCTGCTACTATAGTTTAGGATTATTATATGCGTTTATGTCCTATAGGATTCTGAGTGCAGATAAATTGTCTTGTATCAGTATGAAACCTGGTTTGGGTCAACACTACAGGTCTTTTTAGAAAGTGTCTGTTTTAGTTCCACTGAGCTCTGAAAGGGCTCTTCCCTTACAAAATATTCATCTGTACTGCAGTAAAGGAAACCACAGATTTTATTGTGGTTTTATTAAACGATGCATTCAGTCCACAGAAAGTTCATTGCAGACACAACTTCAGATACCAACATTTCTTTTATAGCACAAATGCCAGACAGTACAGACAAGTGACTTAACAGAAACAATTACACAAGAATATTCAAACAGCAATTACACAAGAATACTCACTCAAAAACGCACACAAACAAAAGCATTCCTTTTTCACTCAAATACTGTGGAGTAATGTGTTTTTCACTAGTGCAGACATTTTTCTTGCTTTCAGATCAATAGCAGCCAATAACTAGAATCACAGAAGACAAGGCATGGAAAGAATCACAAAGCATTATCTATCTAGTCTTTCTGTTTGAAGACAAGGGTAGATACACTGTCTTGCTCCAATTTATAGGAGGGAGAGGAGGTTCTTTTAATAGATGTATACCTGACAGAGAGAATAAGACACAATGGGTGGAATGTTAGCCCTGCCAGTTTATTACAAATCCTGCTCGCTTAGGGAGATGGGGGACGGAAGGTGGGCTATAGAAAAGAGAAAGGAAATAAAAGCAAGGAGACCTTGTAGAAAGCAAGAGAGACAGTCACCACCATGAGTCCAGCATTGTTTGTAGTGCAGATGTTGACCTTCAGTACCAATGGGTCCTCAGCAGTTGTTATTCAGTTGATGACGAGAAACCTTTTTTCCAACGGCAAGTACAAACTTATTTTTAAGTCCAAAGTGGTCAAGTCAGCTCCTTTTGGAGAGGCAGTGTCTGGCTTTTTTGAGCTAGACAGGCTGGAGAAGTGGGCATGAGAACCTAATGAGGTTCAATAAAGCCAAGTGCAGGCACTGCACTTTAGCCAGGGCAATCCCAGGTATTTATACAAACTGGGAAAAGATTTCCTTGGGAGCAGCTCTGCGGAGAAGGACTTGGGGGTCCTGGAGGACAAGAAGTTGGCTGCAGTGTGTGCTTGCAGCCTGGAAGGCCGACTGTGTTCTGGGCTGCATTAAGAAAGGGGTGGCCAGCAGGGACAGGGAGGTGATTGTCCCCCTCTACTCTGCTCTTGTGAGGCCCCATCTGGAGTATTGTGTCCAGGCCTGGAGCCCCCAGTACAGGAAGGACATGGAGCTCTTGAAGCAGGTCCAGAGGAGGGCCACTAAGATGATCAGAGGGCTGGAGCACCTCTCCTATGAGGAAAGGTTTAGGGAACTGGGCTTGTTTAGCTTGGAAAAGAGAAGGCTACGAGGAGACCTCACTGTGGCCTGCCAACATTCGAAAGAAGCATAGAAACAGGAGGGAGAATGACTGTTTATAAAGGTGGAAAGCGATAGAACAAGGGGGAATGGATTTAAACTAAGACAAGGGGAGATTTAGGTTAGGTATTAGGAGGAAGTTTTTCACTCAGAAAGTGGTGACACACTGGAACATGTTGCCCAGAGAGGTTGTGAGGTTCTATGATTCTATGATTTCAGCAGGAACTCCTTTTGTTCCCACCTTCCAAGCTTAGCCAACAGATAACAGGGAGCAGGGAGGCACCCACTTGGATCTTGCCTACACATTATAAAATGGTATCATAACCCCAAGCTGGAGTTATTTAGTCACAGGACAGATATTCCACCAGTATACACTTTTGAGCACTCTTTTCCAAACAGCTCCAGAGAAATGCTTTTAAATATAAAACTGTCCACAAAGTGATGCTGACTGCCACATGGCAGAACCAGCCTCTCATCTTCTAGATAAGTCAGAGTCTTATTGCAAGAAATGCCTCGGAAAGCAAGCTTTGAGTGAAAAACAAAGGCTCAGACATATACCTGAGCTGTTCCTGACAATCCTGACAATGATTTGTCTATCAAAATCTCCAAAGATTGAACTTCAAGGACTTTATGAAAAAAATAGACCAAAGAGGACAAGGAGTAATGGTTTGAAACTAAAAGAGGGTAGGTTTAGATTAGGTATAAGTAAGCACTTCTTCACTCAAAGGATGGTGAGGCACTGGAATACATTAATCAGAGAAGTTGTGGGCGCTCCATCCTTGGAGGTGTTCATGGTCAGGTTGGATGGGATCCTGGGCAGCCTGATGTAGCAGGAGGTGTCTCTGCCCATAGCAGGGGGGTTGGAACTAGATGAACTTTATGGTCCTTTCAAATCCAGATCATTCTGTGATTCCATGAATGTCTTCTGGTATATCACTTTTGCCTCAGCTTAGGTTCAAGTTTTCTGTTTTTACTAGACCATTTCAAAACTGTTTATGTCATTTAAACTAGACTTATATGAATTACTCCTTATTTTCACACACAATGTTCTATCTAATTATAGATTACTCCTCACTTATGGAAGCCTGGAAACACTGAATATTTATACTGTGAAAAAAAAGTTGTACCCAAGGTTGCTCCGTTATCATCAATGGAATTTGAAACAGTGCTTTGTCAGCATGGGCTTTGGTAATCCACGTATATATTCTATAGAATAGGACTATAGAAAAGCTTACACAGCTCAAGCCCTTTAACTCCCACTGCTGTTCTCTTGCAGTACAGTCTGACTACCAGAACTGCTCATCAGGATATTCAACTGACCTATTTCTACAGTGAGTATACAGTAACAGTGACTGATAGTAAGGATATGTGATTTGGCTTAATGTACCCAAGTTCATACTGGTATGTCTTTCAAGCTGAGACAAGGGTCTTCCTGTGTGTTAAATGCTTCTCTCTGAATGACCTTTTCTGAAAAAGGCCTAGCCTTAGGGGAGCCAGGAGGTACATCTTCTATAACCATTCCTCAGTTGCAACCTACTGTTTTATCCATATTGACCCTCACAGTCCTCTGACCATACCCGTGGCCACAGGAATTTAGATTAAGAATTCAATGGATTAGGTAAATAGTGAACTAGTGCATAGGCTTGGACTCAAGGAAGAGATGAATGCCTGTCCTTCAAAGTGAACACCTCTCTACAGCTTTACATGTCCCATAGAAATAAAAGGCTCCTAAAGTAATGCTTCCTATTTTATTAAGTTGGCCCACAACATCGAAGGCTCATGGTGGTGGTATGACAGTGGAGGTCGAACTTCCCTCCAACATCTCATTACATTTTGTTACTGTATGACAGATGGCAGCAGAAGGACAGTCTGACAGAATGGCATCTGACATGGAAGTAAAAATGAAACAGAAGTTAGGAACTGAATTCCTCCATGTGGAAAAAATAGCACCCAAAGATGTTCACTGAGTCTTGCTGAACATTTATGGAGACCAAACAGTGAATGTGAGCACAGTGAGGTGATGGGTGGTGCATTTTAGCAGGGGTAACACTGACCTGATAAATAAGCCATATTGCAGACAACCGTGGAGAGCTGTCAGATCTCAAAATGAAAAGCATTTCAATCACCTCATCTTCATGAATCAGCTGGTTATGACAAGAGAACTGTTTATGGAGCTGAATATTCAATGCATTGGAAACAATGGTGGCAACACTGGAATATTACAAAGTTTGCATCAAGTCTGTCCCCTGAATATTCGCTCAGGAACAGAAAGAATATCATATGAAAGTTTGTCAGGATATATTGTACCAATGCTAGTCTGAAGGCAACAGTTCCCTTGACCGCATCATGACTGGAGATGAGATATGACATCACCGCTATGTGCCAGATTCAAAATGGCAGTGCATGGAGTGGTGACATACAAATCTTCCATCGAATAAAAAGTTCAAGACACAGCTCTCAGAAAGACAAATAATGTGCACTGTCCTTTTGGAATAGGAAAGGGGGCAATCCTTTTGGATTTCCTGAAACTCTGGCCACTACATCATAATGCTGTCTGAGCTGAAAGCTCGAACTTTTAGAGTCAGACTAGAGAAGAAGACAAGCTTTCTTTTGTAACATGATAATGCTGGCCCCATGTCAGTTTGGAGATTGTGAACACATTACCAGAATCACAGAATGTCCAGGGTTGGAAGGAACCTCAAGGATCATGAATCTCCAGCCCTCCTGGTACATCAGGGCCAATTACCAATTCTGGCTATTGCACCCATCATATAGTCCAGATTTCCTACCTTCTGACTTCCATCTATTTGAGTTGATGAAAGATGGTCATCATGAGTAGCATTTTTCTAGTACCAGTGCCATCATAGCAGCAGTGACACTGTGGGTCACCTCTTCTGGTGAACAAGTGCAACATGCAGACTGTGGTCCATCACTGGTGAAAATGCATAGCTAATGGTGGTAACTGTTGTAAAATAGTATTCTGAGAATTAGCTCTATCAAAATGTGTTATTTTGCTCTTTGTATCTGTTACAGTTTCCATGGAAATAAATAGGGGGTATTACTTTCAGAGCAATCTATGTAGAATTATTCACTGCAGTAGTTTTATCCTCTGAAGTGAGGATTTTCCAGTTTAGATTCAGCTTTAAGGAGTAAAAGTTGCAGCATGTGCCATCATATAATATATTTAGTCAATGACTCTCTGCTGACAGAAAATTGCAGGCCAGTGGGACACTGCTGTAATCTCTGATTCCAACTAGTCCATGCATTTCCAGTGGCTATGCTCAAAGAGACTCAGAACTGTTCATTAAGTTTGTTGTGAAACCAAGTGTTTAATATCTGTAATTTCAAAGGATCAATAGGAAGTCAAATTGAGTGAATATAGTTTTGAACTGGTGTGATTTCAGAGAAACAGCAACATTGCATATCTCAAAAGAATCCACATTTTAATGTATCACCACGAGTTTGAAACTATTTCTACTGTTTCAGTCTGATGAGAGTTTTTCGTTGTCATTGTTGATTTGTTTTTTAATGAAAGGATTCACCGCACATGTTAAGAAACTGCTGTAAAAAAGCTGCAGTGTTCAAAAGTCGAACCATTTATTGTACTGATAGGTTATCAACCACAGCCACATTATTTAAAATGGCTTGTCAGCAATAGGGTTGACTTTGCTTGCTTTTGCACACCTCCTTGCATTTTCATGTTATTATAATGCGAGTGCAAAACTATACTGAAAACATATTTCTCTTCAGTAATAGTTTTTTTTTGTCATTATTGTTTCCTCTGTCTATTTTTATATAAATTACCTGGTTCACTGACTGAAATTTAAATGAAATAGTGATTGCAATTTTTCTTTTTGTTTCTGTGTGGTTGCTACAGTGGTATCTCTTGCATTCTAGACAGTGTGTGAGGGCTATGAGGGCACCTTCAGCCTTGACTGTCCCTGCAGCCTCCGCCATGGCCTAGGCCCACCATGTTCATCCCTGACCCAACATGGTTGGTCTCCATCTTTCCACAGCCTAACACTTCCCAGCCATGGGTTCCACTGAGTCAGGTCCATCCATGGGTCCATATCCCAGCCTGGAATGTCTTCAGATGTTCCCTGTCCCTTGAAGGTGTTTGGTGTCTGGGGCTGTCCCAGAACCTCCAACAGCCTTTCTCCTTGCTGGCATGAATAGATCTTGGCCTGAATAGATATTCAGTAACATATTTTGCATAATAAATATTTCATGGATTACACTGGGATCCCATGGAAGAAAAAAAAAAAAAAGAAGAAAGTTCTTCCTGCTGATAGGCCACCACTGCAGAGACTAATTTTGATTAGTAAACTGCAATCCCTTTACTAGCCAATCTGGTGGCTAAAGACATCTCTGCCCTTCCACAAGTGCAGCCCTTTCACATGTGTAGTTCCACACACAGTAGCACTGGGGACTTCTGGTACAACCATTTTTACAGCCAAAAGTGCCTCTACAAAATAAGACTTGGATTTTAAGAAATAAATTTGTCTTGTACAGTGTACATTGGGCTTGAGCACATGGTGCACATAATACATGTCAGAATAACTTGATACAATAGGCTACCTACAGTCAGTCTCTCATACGTTTTCTTCTCCCCAGATTGAAGTGAATGCACCCATGCTGATTTCCTGGCTCTCAACACTGGGAGAAAGGTAGCAGAGGCAGATTGCATCAGACAGATCTTTTCTCTGTTCCCCATAACTGCAAATGAGTGGACTACATGGGATTTACAGGTGTGCTGAGCTAAGACCTAGACGGTGAGTATAGAAAAAGCACTTTAAGTAGTCCTATAAAGAAAAATTATGGAGATGTTAATACAGATGAGAAGCATAGGTTTCACTGGATATTTCCTTCAAATTTTCCACTTTCTGTAGCACTTTTAGGAAATGCTATAGTTCTTTATTACCTCAAGTCATACTATTAAAAATTAAAAAAATCTATTGAAAGAATTAAGACTTCTTAATCTAAATCTATTCTATTTCAGTTTAAAGTCATTTACCCTCGTCCAGTCACTACATGTCCTTATAAAAAGTCTCTCCCCAACTTTCCTGAAGGCCCCCTTCAGGTACTGGAAGGCCGCAATAAGGTGCCCTCAAAGCCTTCTCTTCTCCAGGCTGAAAAGCCCCAGCTCTTTCAGCCTGTCCTCACAGATGGGGTGCTTCAGTCCTCTAATAATCTCTGTGGCTCTTCTCTGGGTCCTCTCCAATACTCCATGTCCTTCTCGTGTTGGGGGCTCAAGAACTGGACACAAGTCCAGGTGGAGTCTAATGAGAGCAGAGTAGCAAGGCAGAATCACCTCCTTTGACCTGCTGGTCACACTTCTCTTGATGCAGCCCAGGATAAAGTTGGCCTTCTGGGCTGCAAGTGCAAATTGATGGACAAATTGATGACCTTGTTCCTTAGAAGTACTTACCTATTTGCCTTGAAGGCTAAAAGAAAAATAGTCTCCAGAATACTGTCTAAAATAGACAAGAAATATAAGAAATATATCATTTCTAGAAAAAGCATTTAGTCCATGCAATGCACTAATTACAATGAATTCCTTTCCAGGTTGCTAAGGATTGGAGTTGGCTATGGATTGGAGATGAGATGAGTGAGTGGCACACCATGCCTTGCTTACGTTACAAATGCTACATCACCAGCTGGTATCTTTGTAAAGTGATTTTTTGAGATGGAGGATTAAAAACATTTCAGAAGGATGTGACAAAAATGGGTTAGAAGTTTGTTTGGGTTTGTTGTTGTTTTTTTTTTTGTTTGTTTGTTTGCTTGTTTTGCCTTTTAAAATGGTTTTTAACTTCTGAGAATCAATAAATATCTAGAAGAATTACCTTATTCCTCTCAACTCTTCCTCTCTGAAGATGAAAATCCTTACAAACTCTTTGTTGGACACGTCTGAACTCTGGTATTTAGCATGGAAGAACATTTTTAACAGTGAGGAAACATCCAATTTGCACAAACAAGAGCAGAGGGAAAGTAGTAAGTCCATTGTCCTCCAATACCACAAGAAAGGTCAGAGAAAATATGTTTTCCTTCTGTTCCTCTTTTTCTCTTTTTTTTTTTTTCTGTTGACCCATGAAATAATAATAATAATAATAATAATAATAATAATAATAATAATAATAATAATAATAATAATACGCAAATGTACATTTGCATGAATCAGTGATAAACTCGTAATTTCTGCCTTCTAGGTTGTTGTGGTTGGTTCAAATGGGATGTTCTAACAATCTGTCAAGAACAGAAGACAGCAGCAGGAGCCCTGAAAGGATTAGAGTGCTGAGTTGTTGCATAACCCTATGTTTAATCACAAAGTGCAGCAAAAGCATTCAAGAACTTTCTGTCTGTGCTCTGGGAGTCTGTAGAATACCATTATGTTTCAACAAACTTTGCCTGGCATTTTGCTGCCAGACTTGACATGATCTCATCTAAGATACAAACCACAAGAACAGTGATCAACTTGTGATATACTCCTTTGAGACATTTTTTCCCAAAATAGTAAAGATTATTCCACAGTGTAATTTTTTTCTAGCAGTCTTTGTTCTCCGTTACCACACTGTATAATTGTATGAGTGTATACCTGTAAAAGTGAAGCAACTTTCCCATGATAAAAATATCACTGCACAATACAGTAGCTGCTAATAAATACTATACAAGTAGAATAACAGTTTTTAAGGACATTAGGAACTGGTCTGATCTTTTAATCCAACATCCTGTATGAAACATGTAATAGAGTCCCCAGCTCATCATACCGGAGTTTTAATTTCTGCACTGCAAACCCAAAGTCATTCAACAACTGAATAAATAACTTTTTTTGTTGTTGTTTCCATTTTGAGAAAAAGCAAGGAATTTGGAAAATTCTTTGATATCAGCTGTTTTTCTTATTCTGTAAACAGCACATGCGTATGCAGTGTCCTGTACAGTATGTACAGCGATATGAAAGTGTTTTCTTGGCAACAACAGGAAAGCAAAGCAAAAGATGTCCAAAGGAACATAAGCAGAAGACTGGTAGCTGATGGGCAAGATAAGTCTCCCCACCGTACTAGCCTACTTTGTCATTCCAACTGCTCAAAACCTGACATTTTCCAAGATGTAATTAATATTCACTTTGAAGATGCTTCTAATGAGATATGGATGCTAAGTTAGTCTCTAACAGCTTTCCAGTTGTACGTAATGATTCATTCGGAGAGTAACAGATTCAGCTTTAGAATGTCCCATCTTACTGCCCAGTATTTCTATGCTCTTGCCAGCAAAACTCAATGTCTGCAACGGTCGACCAAGACATGTGGCACTAGTGCTGTGCCACATGGCACAGTATTGATATTAACCTGGCGTCTAGCCCCCTTATTTCAATATTCTTCATTTCATGTTGGTATTAAGGTAGACTATTACTGCACTATTATACAGCACTGAAGAACAGTTCATTTCAGCCTTTACTATGCATAGCTAAATATTCTACTTCATGAATTTTCAAGTGTCAGGGGAAAAAAAAAGAGTGAGGATTTGATTCCATTTGTATCCCATATGTACAAATGTGTTCAGTTTATAGCCATGAAGAGAAACTTTCCAGCTTCCAGAAGTGCACACAAAGCCTGGAATGTGAAAATTGGTTGTTTTCTTTCCCTTACATTATATTTATTATCTTTGATAATAAAGGTTGTACAGTTGCATAGCTGGCATTTTTACTAGTGACTCATGAGGAAGAATAGAATCCAATTTTCTTGTCCTTAACTATCTTGGCTCTGTTGCTGTAGTAAATAGAAAGCACTTATTGTCAGACAAGTATGTGGATATGACTCAGGGACAGAGAGGGCCAGAGATCACTTCAATTAAAGAAAAAACTGTTCTGTGAACAGAAAAACAAATGAGACCTAGTTTGCTACAGGCTTCTTAGAGACCTCCTAGCACTTTTCTTCTTTCCCTTTCCCCTAAATCCTCTCCTGATCTGTTTGGCCGGCTTCACATCAATTCTATTTCAAACTTATTAACAGGTTTTTTCACCTGGGGGAAGTAAAAAGAACACTGCATCACAAAGACAGACAAGAAGGTAGAAAATACCATTACATAACCTTCATTTCCTTGGGAAAGCAAGCTTGAATGTTCCATATTCAGAATAACAGATTCAGCTTTAGAACATCCCATTTTACTGCACAATCTTGCTATTCCTGAAAAACTCAGTGCCTGAAGTGTTCAAACAAGCCATGTGGCACTAGTACTAGTTAGAATATACTGCAAATTCTAAGATTCTGGATGTGTCTTGAGAATGCGTTCTAGTCAGTGCCCTCGTTCTTTTGCATTAGGTTGTGTTAGGGCATGGAGTGATGGAAACAGTTCCTTCTATCTTGTTATATTCTGCATATGTTAAGAGTCATGAGCCTCTCCTTACTACAAGGCTCTATTTTGTGGTTTCACCCTAAAAGATAGATTTCAATGCAGTTACAGTTCCTAGCATTTTAGAGAAAATCAATTTGAGAGTTCCTTCTATGTGTTTCATGTAGAACATAAGAACAGATGATCGAGTGATTTTGTCCAGTGGTAAAATCTTCTGGCTGAAAAATTGCCTATTATCATGTGAATAGCTTTCTCATTACAACTATTCCTTTGTTAAACAGGCATCTTTCAGTTGTTCTCAAACATGCACTGTAAGTTATGAAGTTTGCATTTGTCAATTCAGTTTTCTTATACTGCTTTTAAACAATACCATCAGTGTTTGCTATCTTCTATTTGTGTAGAACAGTATTTGCAAAGGGTATGATCACATGTGTAGATATTGGGAACTGATGAAAGCTGAGTCTCACAGTTTGGTCAAGGTGTGGTAAAAAAACAAAATAAAATAAAAGACTTCATGTATACAGGACTTCAGAATGAACATGTTCCAACTCATTCTTATAAGGGCATGTAGTGACAGGATGAGGGGAGCCCTGCATCCCTGCAATCATTGTTAAATGTATCTCTCTGTAGGAAGATGGTTCTCACATTTCCTATACGTATGGAACACACAGTTCTTTCTGCACCCAAAAATTGAGAACTGCATATACACTCTGTATCATGTAATGATTATCTGACAGAAATACTTATGTGTACTAATAGAATGAAAAACATGATTATTTGAATGGCTCTGTAATATGGCTTCTGCTTCTATTCCCATAGGTCTACATCCTGTGGACTCAGGTGTGCGAAAGAACTGAAATGCAAAAGCCAAGCTCAAAATATCCAGTGTACATCTAACCTCCAGTACTTTGCATCTGTATTTGTTTGCCTGTTTTTACCTTGACTCCCCAGATCCTAGCACCTTTACCTCTGTGCATCCCAAGAAATCTCTGAGTATTTCAGCTCTGCCCCAGTTCTTTCGAGTACAGAAAAAAGGAGTCCGATACCCACAGTGTCTGAATGACCTGTGATTCTACATCTACTTAACATATATGGGCAGAATGGAGAAGTTTGATTCAAATTGCAACTGCAACCACATTCTTTCAAGAAACTCTAACAATAAAATAATGAATTTGCTTCCAAAAGTATATCAGCATGAAACACTACACTTTTTGTATTGCTTCCATGTGAAAACAACCCTTTTCTGTACTGCATATGTATCTTAAATACTAGAAGAAAAGTTTGCAGTCAGTTTCTGGTACCTAGTTAGTGATACAAGACTTCAGATAACACTGCAGTTTAGCCACTGGCAATTTGCACCATGGATTTTGTAATCATAACAATTCTTGTCTGGGAGCAGCATGCTCGCAGCAGTTTGCACTGGCAGAGTGCTACACCTTGCTTGCTGGTTCACAGCCAGAAGATGCGCCCTTGATCTCTCTCATTATGGTGTTGGGAACACACCTGAATGTTAAAGACAGTGCTCCTACTGACAAATTCCCAGAGATGTCTGATGCATTTGTCCATATAGAACTGATAAAAAAGGAGACTTTGTTTCAGATGTTTGGTTGCACTGTGTACTTTAAGCTTTCCCCTGGTGATAAAAGAAGTGTCTACACAAGATGCACATAGATAGGTGATTTTTTATTACAAGTGGTTGAGCTACAAGAAGCAGTTAAAAGGCTTTGTTGTATTAGAGGCACTGACAGAGACACAGAATCATAGGACAGATAATCAGATAATCATTTGAGTTGAAAGGACCCTTAAAGGCCATCTAGCCCAACTCCACTGCAGTGAGCAGGGACCTACAGCTCCATCAAGTGCTCAGAGTCCCATCCAGCCTGAACATGAATGTCTCCACTATCTTTCTGAGAAACCTATTCCAGTTTTTCACTACTCTTATCATGATTTTTTTTTTCTTATATCCAATATAAATCTCCCCTTTATTAGTATGAAACCATTTTCCCTCATCCCATCACAATGGAGTCTGCTCACTTCTTTCTTACAGCCCCTTTAAATACTGAAAGGCCAATCTCAGGACTCTCCAGAGCCTTCTCTTCTCCTGGCTTAATTCCTACTGTTGTAGGAGAGGTGTTCCATGCCTTGGGTCATTTCTATGGCTCTCCTCTGGATGTGCTCCAGCAGGTCCATGTCTCTCCTGTACTGAAGACTCCACATCTGCACACAGCACTCCAGGTGAGACCTCACCAGCACAGAGCAGAGGGCAGGATCACCTCCCTTGACCTGCTGGTCACACATCTTCAGATGCAGAATGCGGTTGGCTTTCTGGGTTGCATCATCTAGTCCACTCATCAGTGGATGGGGATTGGGC